CCCACTACCACTTTCTCGAAAATCCAATTTGTTCTTGCTCCTCTCACCCATGATGGCGTCACCACTAACTCTTTCCTTTCACCCAACCTCCTACTGCAATTTCCCACCCACCAGTCATTCTCATTACCACATCCCCTCAGATCACCTCGCCCCTCCTCCCCTCCACTGCGCAAACGTAACATTGTCGCATTCCATAGACATGTCTAGACGTCTGTGTGCCGTCATTCAGTAATGTCTCTTGGTTGGATTCTTTTCTTACATTTTGTGTTGGCGGTCTCCACCAGACACGAATGCCACACTCCAACAACAAAAACAGTTGCTTCCTGCTCCACTGTACCACTGATTTGCGTAGTGGACATGCAAGTTGCCCTTGTGCCGTGTGCATGCTTGCCTGCCCGCCTGCCTGCCTGACTAATGCTGTGCAGCATCATCTCCATCTCCATTTCCTCTCCATTCTCATGACCTCGAACGACCTGTCAAACATTCCTCCACGCATTTCTTCACTGCAAACAAGGACCGTGGTGGCAGGACTCACGACGGCTATCAACATTGGTCGTTTCTAAGGGTGCAACTAATCGGTACCATCTTGACTCCTGTGATGCAAAGCATTTAAGAATTGGCAATTTCGCAATACCGTATTCCGTGAGAACAACTTCATGCCTTCTTTCTCAGCCATTTCGATGCGCACACCTAACGGGCACAGACCATGGTCTTCTGACTGAATGCTCTCTTGCAAAAGAGGAAGGACACCCTCCCTTTTGCTGTTTGTTCCTTGGATCAGTAAATGCGTTTGAGAAATCGACTTCGTGTGGTGCGCTACCACCTCAGAGGAGAAATATGGTCGATGTAGTCTCCAATGTGTTCGCAGTCGAATACTCCTTTGTCAGTTAGTCAATTGTGAACTGACCAGTTGTCAACACGTCCTAGCACCTCTTTTAACACAATACACCTTTCTCATATGTGAAACTAATTGCACTGTTGTCTGACTGTGCGATTGCTCCTCTGTCCACTATGCTACGGAAGTGGCAACACCCGCTGAGGTGAAGTAATGCTTACTTCCAAAGTTGGACAATTCTGTACCCACTTTTGAAAACGTGCAAGTGCATTTCCCCCCCCCCCCAAGAATTGACATTTATTCCTACTTCCTTACGCTTTAGAGGTTCCTCATTATCCTGCAATCATCTCAAGTCCACGTTTTTTGACTATGCATACCGTTTTACAATTGCTGCTGAAGTCATTAAACGTAAATGTGGGATTCATTCCTTACCTGAAATGTCTTTTGGAGATTTTTGTTCTTAAAAACACTTCTCGGATATTTGTCTTTCTCGCGTAAAAGCCTTCCTGTTATTTATCTCCCATCTCTTTCTGACCGCAAAAACATTTCCTTTAATGCTTTTAACTCTCATTGCCCTTATCACTATCCGGTCTTTTTATCCACCCACATCAAACTATCCTTCTGCTTCGTCTTTTACTCCATGGGTGTGTGAATGAATTTTAGTGTCTACTGGTCGTTCACACAGTCACTGGGCTTCATTTTGCTTAATGAACCTGGTCCTCAGTCATTGAAGCGTAAAGAACCACTTTGTAGATTTCATTGGACTTTTTAGAAGGCATTGTAAATGAGAGCTGCCATCGTTACGACACTATACCATTCTTATTTCCCTAATCGTTGTTTTGATCATAAGATTTACCTTTTTATAAACATCAATTGAGTTTTTTTTTGTGCTTTTGTTCTGAGCCGATTTTGCTTGTAGAGGAAGGAGTGAATATTTTTTTAATGTCGATTAATTGATAGAATTGTTTGAGACCTTTACTGCTCCTTGTCACTGCAGTGTTCGATAGGAGTTGAACGAGTATTCATTGCACGAAACCTCTCTCCGAAGACATTTCTTCTTGGTCGCAGTTTCTTAGCCGTCACCTTACTCATATCCGAGTTTCATAGCAGATCTGAGCTCATATCTGAGTTGATAATGTTAACTTGAGGTAGCTAAAGCGGTAATGACATCTATCATAAAGCTGCAATGTAGCGACGCAGGGAATTCAAAATGATGGTAATATCTTTGGGATTTCCTTTTTGGTGATTTTTCTTCCTCAGGAAATGGTACATTGAAGAATTTAGCAAAAGGTGATGGTAACTGAAAGCAACCATGTCTCACATACGCCCGAATTCGTAATATCGTTTGAGGCGGCTACCATTCCAGTAGTGGTTAAATTAATCAACAAAGCCAAAGTCAGGGAAGTTGAGCGAATTCTGTGACATGAACTATTCCAGGTGACACACTGAGTTTGCCTTTCCTTTTTGCAATTTTGGCGCCTTATTCACATTTACGGGCGTCATAAGGCTGACAGGACTGAATGTACCTTTACCGTCAGTATGTGGAAAGGCCGGGGGATCACTACTCGATCTCTGCCTTCAAGATTGAATCACATGTGACTGGGTCGACTTGCGTAGTCGAAAAACGAATTTAACTCAGGCATTATTCCGCCGCAATGACCCCTTTGCTATCAACGCAGAGGCCAAATCACGGACAGCTCAAATATTATTAATACACTGTTTTATGCTCTCGGGTGGAAAATACTTCCATTCCACTAATGCATCTTACTATTTTGGGACTGCTATACTCTATTTCTATACGACCGTCTTTCGGTGATTGGTATTATTTCATCAGCACTAAATAGTTAGCACAGCTTTAAAAGGATGATTAGGATGCAATTTCCCACAACATGCCATTATTGCATCGTCACGTCCCTTCTTAATGTTCAGATATCCTTTATGCAAATGTGTTCATATGCATAATTAATGAACTCGATCACCTGCAGTTGTAGGTGGAGCATGAGGACATCGAGTTTGGAATTTTTCGCTCTTTTGGACTGTGTTATCCAAAACCACCGCCATCACTACATTGCTTGAGGCCTCATTAACGACATTGTGAAGTGACAAGCAGAGTACCTCGCTATCAGCGTGGAGGCCGAGTAGTTATGCCTAGTTTGAAGTTGATTGAGTTGTCAAAGGTTGATAACTACTTATGAATCGCCACAGATCCAGCAATCCATTGTATATGCGTTCCTTTCATGACGCTTTTGCTGAGTATCCCCCTAATAAAACCAAGATTATCAGTATTTTAGGGTGGGATTGCCAGCGTTCCCACCAATGTATTGCCAGAGATGGCCTCGGAGACTAAGAGACATGAATGTGAGCTAACTGTACTGATGTCTATTGAGACTGACGCGATAATTTGTATGTGCGGTTCACGTCGCTGTAGTGAAGGCTGAATAAGGAGCATCAAAAGGCTTACGCAATAACGCTTATCATTGAAACAACAGGTAACAGACAACTCTCTCTTATCTTTGCAGTCCTTCTACCTACAGCGGATGGGAGCCGTAATGGAGGACAGAGGCCTGTTTACACCAGCCCATGGCCCCCCAGTGGAGGGCGCACGGTGTCCACAGTGCGGCGGCACCTTTGCCCTTGGCGGTCCTCTCTGGGCAGATGAGCTGCACAATCGCGACTTCCTTAACGGTCTCCTCAACTCCCTCAAACGCCTCAATACGTCGCCATCGTTCCCAGGTAAGGTACCACTCTTCTCCCATCCCAAACCCCATGCTTTTCCACTATAACTACTTGGATGTTTGAAGATATGAATTTCACCGAAAAGAGCATTTTTTAGCATTTACTTCGGTATTTGATCTCTTCTTTAGCCGTTGGTAGCTGGGATTTAGTGTCTTTTAAAATTGAAGACTTTTTGAAGGGGCAGACTTTGAATGATTTAATGGTTTCTTTTATTATCTCATTTCCTCCTATCCAATCGACTGCTCACGTGGTTCTGCCTTTTATCGCAATTCTTTTCCCTAATGCTCACAGCATGTTAAGGCTTCCGCTAGTGAAGCACCTCCGCTTGCAGTTAGGAACTGAGTACCCCTTTTTGCCTGAGGTACGCTCGTAGGCCTGCCTAAGGCGTCGGTGTCTCATAATGGGTATCTTCACTCTGACTTTACTCCCCACCAACCCTTCAGTTATCCTCTTGAAACACTGATTACACCTTTGACAATGATAACTGGATCCTCATTTTGTCCTCCTTTTATGACTCTCCACTTACAACCCTTTATACTAGAAGCTCTTTATCCCTTGCGAGCCGTGTAAAGTGTATTCACCCTGAAGTTAACTTATAAAGTATTCATTTCCACATGGTTATGGAGGCATTGGAGTGCTGCGCTAATTTCTGCACTTGCTGACTCCACTGTGACATTGCGTTATCAACACTTATCTACGATGGCTAGCATATGCTGTAATAATTAGTAGTTATCCAGAAATTGCAGCAATGTAAAAAATACGGAGTTGCATTTCGTCAAGTGCGTATGTCCATGATGAACAATGTACTGACCTGGTCAGTAGATCTGATCTTGTGAGGATGTGTATTGCATAATCCCTTGCTTGTGGATGTATGTAGTAAGCTGTAAATTTCTGCCATTTTGGTTGTTTGGTCGGGTCTGGTTTACTTCATCCGCTTTCAAATATAAAAATTTGTGGTGGAAAATTGAATTAAATTGTAACCTTTGGAGAGACCGTTCCCCTTCCTGTCGTGAGCCTCCCCTTGTCAGTATTTTGCATACAGCAAGCAATCGATTTACTTTAGTACTTATTTTTTTAAAAAGGGCAAAAATTTCAATCCTAAAGTATTTGATGCTGCATTGTGTTTTTCAATTCAAATGTCCGCGATGCAACCTTACTGCAATGTCATAAAAGCAAACGCATTTTCACTTGTGATTGCGAACCGCCTACCACGGATCATTAAAACGAGGACGAGGTTTGACATTCTGTTGATAGGCGTGCTTCATGTTAGGTGGACTTTTTAATGTGAATTTCAGGTTAGATTTTCCGACCGAAGAGCAAATGTTCAAAACATGATGTTGACACTAATTTATTGGAACGTGAAAAATATTTACGCTCATCGCCTCAGACTCCTTCGATGCCCCCTTTCGTGTCATTGTTTGCTTAATCAAAATCATGTGATTTTCCAATTTTTTTAACGAAACGCGAACACGGACTGTAGTTATTTGCCTTGCAAAACTTTCGATTGTGAGATTGTGTTTCAATGTCATGCTTTTTAATCGCTTCGTTCTCAATACAGCTTTTTTTACCTTGAGAGCGTAAATTCCATCTGAAGTTGAGGTCAGTGCCCACACAGTCTTTTCTTATTAGTAGACCGATTTTACAATCGCTGAAGTGTCGAAAGCGCTTTACAGATTATAAAATGACCTGGAACTGTCATAACTAAGGTCACTGGTAATTGTGCCATTCACCTACCCTTTTAACCAATATAACTCTTCCCTCGATAAATTCAGAGTCTGGCTTCCAGTTTTGATTGACATGTGCTGACCCGCCAACAAACTATGCTAGTTTTTTTGTTGGGGCTGAAGATATTGTGCGTAACCAAGTAGAAACTGAGATTTCCCTTATTTCCTTATCTGTAATGTGCCTGATCGTTGAGTTTTCTATCTGGCATAACCTTTTCTGTTAATAAGGTTCTTGATTTCAATCTGTTTTCAAGTTTTAGTAGACTTATATTTGCCATGAAACTGTAAATTATTACAACAGAAAATAAAGGCACTTGTTACTATATCAAAGCAATAAAACATCTGTGTCATTGGAGTTATTAATTTGCCTCTACGAGCCCGTGACGATGAACTTGTTAAAATAATTTGAGAGGTGGTAAACGCATCCATCAATTTCTCAGAATTTAAAAAAGTGAAAATGGGGAAGTGATATGCTTCAATTCGAAATCGTTGACCTTTGAAGCGAAAAACCAATGGAAATGCATTTTTTGAAGTGGTCCTGCTGTTTTCCTTGACAACGCCTTACTGAGATGTGGAATTCTGGTTCCCAAATTATTCCTGAAGACGTCATAATACGTATGAGATTGGAAGTAGCTTTACTATGTACAGAAGGGCTGAGCGACTGGCAGCGTAGAGGTGGCATGAGAAATTATTATTCAAAAATTACTAGCACTTCGTTCAAACGGATTGGATGCAATATTGACCGTTTATTCGAACCCTTTGCACATAATATGACAAGTTCAACACTCCCCCATGGTTATAGCGAACCTAACTCCCGCTTAGTGTTTAGCTATCTTCACTTTCACTGTAATGAAGGCCATGGTAATAATGAAACTAGAAAAGCCATAATTGATCATGGAAGCCACTTTCCCAGCTTATTCTGTATCACTGTGAGCCTTCTTGGTCTCAACCCACATTTGTTCAGCCTAATTTGTTCTCTGGCCAAGTTGACTCAGTGGTGAAGGCTCGTGTCACTTTTTTTCTCGTTTTTTTCAGTTGTATTTCCTGAAGTGAGTTATTCTGTGGCCTTAATAAGTGGTGCACAAAGGCGAGCGGCTATGGTTTTTTGATGACAAAATTAAGCATAAAGTGTGGATTGTCATCTAAATCCCATTTCGTTCACAATTTGGGAGGTTGTCATTAATTTTGTGCATTCGGTAGGGAATATGGGGAATGCTTTTGTGATGCCCACAATTTATCTACCAGCGACCCCATTAAATATTCTTGCTTAAGTCTTCATCAATTACTCTCCCATGAAGGATGCAAACGTCTTATCTGATGTTGTTTTTTGCTAGAATCTTATTTATTTCACTTCGTTTCACTTAGTTTCATTAATTTGACAGTCATTGCAAAAGAGTGAATAAAAGGGAACCGTTTTTTTTAATAGCATTGTAATTATCGTGAATTGAAGAAAATTAACTGACTTTGAAAGTTTGTAATTGCTGATGCTAGGTGGAGAAAATTAT